TGAAGCCCCCTGTGCCCGAGGTAACACCTTCAACAAGTTAGGGATTAGGATGCGGCCGTCTTTGGGGGGGTGTCTGTTATTCTGTCTCCTGTGAATGGTAAACTAGAAAAATGACCAGTACACACCAGGGAATGAGCAGAAATGAACTGGCATCTTCCCTCTACCCAGAGACACCCCACAGCGCCCCCGGGGCACGTCAGCAGCGCCCTTTGCGAGAGTGGCCTCAACCTGCCTGGCGTCACCAAACTCTTTTTTTTCTTTCTCCCCCAGAAATCTTTGTTTAAAAAAGATCCTTGCCTCCCCAGCACAGTGCATCATCCATGCGTTATGCTCTGGCAGTCACTGTTCTTCCCTCAGACAGACGCACCTACCACTCCAGCCTCTCCTGTGGGAACACAGACAGCTGGCCTGCCCTGCTGAGTCAGAGGGGCCCCAGCCAACGGCGCGGACGTGGGACGTGTGGGTCAGTTCGGGAGGCCTGACCCGGGAGAAGGCGAAGCTGCTGCAGGCTCTGGGAAATCCTAATTCTACGGTCTGAGGGCCACAGCCACGGGCAGCTGGCAATGTGAAGACACAAACAACGTCATAAAAGGCGTTTAATGATTAAAGTCAGCGGGCTCCACTGTCTGAGAGCGTCTCCCACTGAGCCCGTCCCAGACTGAACTCTTGGTCCCTCTGTACAACCCACCCCTCCTCCAGGCTGCCCGGTCACACCCAGGCCCCAGGAAATCCTGCTGGCTCTACCTGCCAAACAAGTCCACTGGTTATTCACTGCTCAGGGGAAAAGGAAAGGTTCTACAGTGGTCACCACCTTAACCAAGGGACCAAGTCACCGTAACAAATGACGGAAGCCACAGACATCAGTAACCCCCTGGGGTGACATCCTTGGGACACACTGTCTGTGGGGTGTTCCTGCCAAAGACGCTCAACACAAATCAAATCAGAGGAAAGGATCAAAAACCCCAGACTGTGGGACACTCCATGGGGCAGCGGGCTTGGACTCTTCCAAGTGTCAATGTCACGAAAAACAAGAAAGGACAGGGATGCTGATACACAGCAGGCTCAGCAAACATTTCCTGCACAGGGTCACAGAGCAAATATCTTAGCTTTGTGGGCCATGCAAACTTAACCTTCGCAGCCACAGACACTATGCTAACAAGTGTGTGTGGCTGTGTTCCAATAAAACTTTATTTATGAAGACAGGCAGTGGGCCAGATTGCTAAGCCCTGTTGTATTAATAGATTAAAGGACACTAAAGAGACATGATAATCAAACGCAGTACACGTTCCATAAGCAGGCCCTAGATTAAAAATAATAATAAACAGTAAAAAGAGGCACTTGGGGGCAGCTGAAGCAATCAGAATATGAGCTATACATTAAATAACATTGTTATCAATATTACTGTTATCAGTGTTACAATTCTCAGGTGTGGTGCCCTGGCTGGTGTGGCTCAGTGGATTGAGTGCCAGCCTGTGAACCGAAGGATTGCTGGTTCAATTCCCAGTCAGGTCACATGCCTGGGTTACAGGTCAGGTGCCCAGTAGGGGGCGCACGAGAGGCAACTGCACATTGATGTTTCTCTCCTCTTTCCCCTTCCCTTCCCCTTTCTACACATTGCAGTGGTCCCCTTTCTAAAAATAAATAAATAAAACCTTTTAAAAAGTTCTCAGGTGGGGCACTGGCACTGTGGTACACAGAGTGTCTTTGTTCTCAGGGGATACAGGTTGAAATATTTAGGAGTGAAGTATCAGGTCCACAACTTATTTTCAAATTACTCAGGGAAAAAAGTGTGTATACATACGTATGCATATACATATGAGAGCAAAGACAGAGCAAATTTGTTGAAGGCTAATAATGAACGAAATAGGTGGTCAAGGGTATGTCACGGATGACTAGACCACTCTTCCATCTAGCTTTTCTGTGGATTTGAAGTTTTAAAGATAAGACTTGAGGAAGAAACTTCTTTGGAATCTGACTTCTCCTTCCCACGCGCCTCCCACCTGGACTACCGTGGGTGCCCCCTCCCTGCACCCACCTCACCCTGTGATGGCCAAACGGGCCCTGTTACAACATAACGCAGACCCTGCCCTCCCTCTGCTCAGCCCCCGAGCGAGTCCCATCCACTCAGAGTCAGGCCGAAGCACGTGCAGAGCCTTCGAGCAGGAACGTTCTCCCCCAAACACCTGTACTGCTTACTCCCTCCTCTCCTTGCACTTCCAGTGAGGTCTCCCTTGTAACTCTATCTAGACTCACAACCTGCCCCCCGAATATTCCCCCTCCCTCTGCATTCCTGATGATTTTTTGCCTGTTCTTCTCTGCTGTATCCACAGTATCTACACAATAGCCACAGCTCAGTGAGAACCACGGACCTACATTATATATCCACTTACCGCCCTGGCTGGTATGGCTCAATGGATTGAGCGCCAGCCTGCAAACCAAATGGTCCACTTACCTCTCACGATATATTACGTACTGTTCATGGTATAAACATGTATCTAGTACACAAGATGGGAATAGTAATAGTGTATATCTCATAATAATTTGTGAGGATTTCATGTCAGAAGGCCTGTGAAGTACTTAGAACACTGCCTGACACAAAGTGACTGTCCATTAAGTGTCCCACTATACAGAAGAGAGGCCTGAAGCTCTGAGTGGTTAAGTGACCTGCCCAAAGCCACCTGGCAGGTAAGGGGTGGGACCCAGATGGGAACCCATGTCAGTCTAACTAGAGAAGCCTTTTTAAAAAAGATTTTATTTATTTTTAGAGAGAGGGGAGGGGAGAGAGAGAGGGAGAGAAACATCAATGTGTGGTTGCCTCTTGCACCCCCCTACTAGGGACCTGGCCCACAACCCAGGCACATGCCCTGACTGGGAATTGAACACGCGACCCTTTGGTTCGCAAGCCTGTGCTCAGTCCACTGAGCTACACCAGCTGGGGTATCCAGGAAGCCACTTCCTACTCCATAATGCTACGGCACGTCACGGTGTTTGGGTGAAAGGCAGTGGCAGGAAACAGGAACCAGCTCTGGGAATCCACAGTGCAGGACGTAAGCCCTGCCTCTGGCACAAATTCAGGTGCGACCTCAGCAATTCACTTCCGGAAGCTCTTGAGCCTCCGTTTTCTCTTCTATAAACTGGGAGAAGTCATTTCCCTTCCCTGACATGGGGACAAAATAGTGTGGGAGGCAAATGAGAGAGCTGGTGTGAAAGCACCTGCTGTACAATGCAGCGCTCTCCAGTCTAAGATCGGCAGCTATAGCAGAGGGCCCACCAACCAAACATCCATGGACTAAGAGTTGTAGGCCCTGGAAAGCAAACTTAAAGCACCCAGACCTATAAGGAAAGAAAAAAAGGTGCGCTCCACTTCACCATTTGCTCTTTGCGCATGGTCCTCTCTCCCTCAACATCATCCATGTCCCTGTTGTCTGGTGAAGTTCTCCTCACCTTGAACTCCTCCCTGAACCCCAAGCCAGGTCAGGTGTCCAGTGGGCAATCCCATCCCAGCTCTGCCCACTCTGGTCATCACTCTGAAAGAATGGGTCTGTCCCTACTAAACTGGGAGCTCCTTGAGGGCAAAGATTGGGCTCGCTGGGTGCCTCCACTGTCTCTCCAACACTGCCCAGCACAAGGCCAGGCACAGAGACAATTATCAGAAAATACTAGCTACCCGTATTTTGCCATGTATAAGGTGCATCTTTTTAACCCAAAATTTTTAGGGAAAAATAAGGATGCACCTTATATATGGGTATAATCATTACATACTGTGGATGCATACAACTATATGGGTGTGCATTATACACTCCAAAATATGATAAATGAAGTAACAGATGGATGGCTGGATGAATGGTGGTTTCCTGAGAAACAAATTATGTTCATTTCTTTACTCTGTGCCCCCACAGGCCTAGAGCATATAGTTCATCTTTTAAAATAGCTCATATTTTGCTCTGGATAGTGTGGCTCAGTGGATCGAGCACTGGACTGTGAAGCGAAAGGGTCACTGGTTCGTTGCCCAGTCAGGGCACATGGCTGGGTTGCAGGCCAGGTTCCCCCGTACAGGGGGTGTGAGAGGCAACCACACATCAGTGCTTCTCTCCCTCTCTTTCTCCCTCCCTTCCCCTCTGTCTAAAAATAAATTAATAAAATATATATTTTTTAAAATCATATTTTAAGCGTTTACTATGCCCTTTAGATCTCAAGTAGGGCTGTCCTCCTCTAGACAGACCTCCTGGCACCAGGTCCGTGGGTCAGGTGGCCATTCTGAGCTCCACAGTACCCACCACCCTGCACACTCTGGGTTGACAACAACGGTCATGATTGCGTCTCCCAGTACCCAGCAAAAAGCCAGCAGAGTCTGTTTACTAAATGAATGGACGAACAAACCCGGTATATCAGTGGATTAATGAACAGGTGGATGAGTGTCCACTATGGTTAAAATTACCCTTTTCCAGACTCCCAGGCCCACACTACGCCCCCACACTCACACTTCGCCCTGAGCCACGCTTCTAATCCAGTCCTATTTCCCCGAGTATTAACTGGGGCAAACCGATGTCCTAAAAGGATGATATACAAGTGCCTCTCACCTCCAGGACGGGAGGAAAACTGAGGCACAGGACAAAGTTTAGGAAGCCAAGGCGCCTGCAAATGACCCAGTCTAGTCCCTCCTCCGCTTGCCCCTAGCTCCTGTCAGTTCTAGAATACCCCGCCCAAAGTAGTCAATTCTCACACTATTGGCTCGCCTGGACGCCAGTCTCCACGCGCTCTCTTCTTCTATTCGCTGATGTTTTCAACTCAGGACCTGGAGTCCCGCCCCTTCCCTTAGCCCACACCCATCCTTGCAATTGGACTAACCGCATGCCCTTAACCCGGAGACCCTCCCTATTGGCTGCAAGACTTTGCCGGTTCCGGCTGTGATTGGTCGTAAACAGAAGTCCATCCCTCGAGCAACCACATGAGAGGAGTTGGAGACTGGAAAGGTTGGAGGGACTTGGGGTCAGACTCACATTGGGCCGGCGGGAGGCAAATGTAGGTCTTGAAGAACTCGCTTCGGCGGGCAGCCTCCTTAATGCGGTTGGCAAGCGGCTTGCTGACCTGCCGGATGCCCAAGTATAGCAGCTTCGCCATAGGGAACGCACCCACCACCATCTTGCAGGTCGCAAGGGGACGTGCCACCCGTCCGACTGGGCGGAGCACCTCCAAACTCTCCCTCCTCCCCCGTCCGCTTGATGCCGTGCGTGCGTGCGTGCTTGCGTACATACGTATGTACGTACGTGCGCTCGTGGAGGGGGGACTGCAGCTGCGCTCCTTGATATCACCGCATTTACGCTGACGCACTATGAATATGCAAATATATGGCGGAAGTGAGGCGGTTAGAGGGTGGTGCCGTTAAACGGCTGTTGCGGAGCGCAGATGGGTTCCCACGCCCGAGTCCGCTGCCGCGCTCTGTCGTGACTGCGTATCTGGGTTGCTTCTCAGCCCAAGTGAGGCTCTCAGTTAGTCCTAATTATGGCTAAGGAATCCCAAATATACCTACTCCGGCAGGATAGAGCTCTCACTGGGGTTAGGAGTGTCCAACTTCTTGGCGTCTCTGCGCAGCACTACAAGAGTTGTCGTGGGCCACACATTAAATACATTGTGACACATAATCACAAAAAAACTCATAATATTTTAAGTAAATTTATGATTTTGTGTTGTGCCGCATTCCCAGCCATCCTGGGCAAACTGGCTTGTAGTCTTACAGACCGGGTTTGAGACCCCGGTTCCATTATGCACTTGCTGTGTGATATTAGGCGAGTGACTTAACCTCTCTGAGTGAAAGAATTCTTGTTTCCAAAATATGAATCATGATAGCATTTATCTTATTGGGTTGCTAGGTTCGCCTGCGCATCTTAAATGTAAAAACATAGTAACTATGTTAAGCGTTTAGAATGGTGCCGGTTACGTATTAAATAATCAACAGCCCTTATTAATATGCAAGTATTAGCATCATTATTGCATACTGTAGCATGAGGGTGAATTTCCTCTCCAGAAGCAGCTAATCCGACTTTTTACCAAGTAACTGACAAACTGTGACCCAGAGATGGGCAGGAAGCTGGCACAAGGTCCCTCAGCCAGCGGAGGTTCACAGCCCAGCATCTTGGCCAATAAAACCATACTGGGTCTGAAGCAGCCCCACTGCCTCTATTGTCGGGTGAGGGCCCCCAGGGAGCAGGCTCAGGAAGTTTAAGGACATGTCCCAGACTGTCTGTCCTCCCTTACCCAGCAGGGAGCAAAATCATATAAACAAGGTCAGAAAGGGGTTGAGAGAAATTCCTGGATGGTGGACTGCTGATGGGTAATTGAGAGATTCCAGAAGAGGCAGAGGGAGAGGAAGTGAGGAGCGGAGAAGTGGTGTGTAAAAGGAAACAAACCTTCAGGATGCAGTCAGGAGACCCTGGGCTTTCCTCGGTATGCACTCTGACTCCCTGACCATCTTCAGTGAAGTCCCAGGCACCAACAGACGTTTCTTCACTTGTAATGATGATGGCACTGGCATGTGCGAACCCAGATATTCTAAATGATGTATTAAGAATGACAAGACCAGCTCTGCCTGGTGTGGCTGGGTGGACTGAGCGCTGGCCTGTGAACCAAAGGGTCACAGGTTCCATTCCTAGTCACAGCACATGCCTGTGTTGCAGGCCAGGTCCCCGGTTGGAGGCATATGAGAGGCAACCAATCGATGGATCTGTCGCACATCCATGTTTCTCTTCCTCTGTTCCCCCTCTCTAAAAATAAGTAAATAAAATCTTTTAAAATAATGCCAAGACCATAAAAACAACTCTTCCCCAGGATGCTTTCTGAACTACAAGTGTGAGAAACTTCGGGGCCTATTCAAGGTCTACATCGACTTGAAACCAACCTCCTCCCCATTTTACAGACTGGCCCACTGAGGCCAGAGAATGGAAACGATTTATTCAGTGTTTCAAGGGTCATTGGGATGAAGCTGAGGGAAGCTGAGGCTGGGATTTCTTGAGTCCCAGCCCCGAATCTTCTCCTGATACCTGGAGGTGTTAGCCTGGGGCCCAAGAACCGACTGTGGAGGAGGGACTCGGGGGCCCCATGTTGGTTTTAGGGAACATCCAAACTTCTGTGTGACTTCTTTCCGTGTAATTAATTCGCTGTTGTTTCCTTAGCTCCCAGAACAGTGCCAGGCACATAGTAGGTGCTCAATGAATATTTATTGCACAAATGGGAATGAGTATTTGGTGGATGGGTCTTTCATCTGATTCTCTGAGAAGATTGTTGAAAGCATCTGGCTCCCTCCATCTCCAACCCAGTAGCTTTGCAGCAGTGAGACAGGACAGGAAAATTACTAGGGCCCCCAGATCCCAGGCTCCCCTCCAATCTCTCCCAGCAACACCAAAGCCCCAACTTCCTGCATCTCAGTAACCCCCCTTCCTGCAAAACCATTTTCTTCATTAGGGTATTTTTTTTCCCCTTCTCATTCTCCTTCTCCCTCGTCTTCCTTTCTCTGAGCAGGGTTTCCAGGAACCTCTTCTGAGAACTTCTGGGGCGAGGGCATGTGTGTAGGGGGCACGGTGCGGGGGGGGGGGGGGGAGGATCATCGCATCTCATCAGGAGCTTGAGGAAGAAGCCAGTTAGTTACACAGCCAAGGGAAGTGATCTACCAGAAGGGGCGTGGCCTGTCCCGAGCTGGGTGCTTCCTCCAGTTCTCCAGCCTGGTTGTAGAAAAAGGACCATTCCTGGTGACCTCGGAGGGGCCGGGGAGGGAGGGAGACATCAACAGGAGCAGACAGCCTCGGCCATTCTGGGGCGTGGGAACACAGGCAGAGAGGGGGAGGGGAGGGCTAGCCTACGCTGGCTCCAGGCTGACTCACCGGCCGTGTGACCCTGGGCTAGTCTCTTGGCCTCTCCAGTGACTGCCCCGGAATAGGGCCTGGGACCATTCCCAGAGGCTCTTCCAGCGCCGGCTCTCCGTTACCCTTTTCCCAGGATGGGCACGAGGCTCACGCTGCACAGTCCCACGGGCCCGTGTGCAGCTTCCATCACTATCTTCCTTCAGAACAAATCCCAAAGCTCACCCCTGCTCCTTGCTCCAGCTGCCAGCATCTCCCGCCTGGAATTTGGCGGTCGCCGCTGCATGGGGCTCCGGCCTCTGCCCTGACTTCCGCCATCCTGCTCCCCACGCCGCAGCCAGCCGGATCCTGTTAACATTTAAGTCAAAGCGCATCCTTCCTCCTGTGGTTCCCATTCATCTCAGAGTAAAAGGCAAAGTCCTCACCAGGACTTCATTTATCTTATTTTATTAATTTATTTTTAGAGAGAGGGGAAGGGAAGGAGAAAGAGAGAGAAACATCAATGTGTGGTTGCCTCTCGTGTTACCCCTGCCAAACTGGTACCTGGCCCAAAATCCAGGCATGTGTCCTGACTGGGAATTGAACCAGTGACCTTTTGGTTCACAGGCCCGCGTTGAATCCACTGAGCCACACCAGCGAGGGCCCTACCAGGACTTTAACAGCCCTGAAAGATGGGCCTCTGTCCCCTGGCCAGTCTCACCTTCCATTCTGTCACTCTTGTCTGTTCCAGTCACACCACCGTAGTTACTGTGCCTCAGAATTCAGGCACTGTCACCCCGGGGCTTGTCACTCGCTGTTCCCTCTGCCTGCAATGCTCTCGCCCGCCCTGACAACCACTGGGCTGACCCCCCTCAGCTCCTTCAGGTCTTTGCTCAAAAGCCACCATCTCAGTGAGCCCTCCCCTGGCCTCACGCAGATCAGACTCCATGTCACCCTCTGTCCCTTCCTTCCAAACCTTATTTTGATTTACTTATTTACTGCCAGCCCCATGATGGTGGCGCCTGGGCTGTCTCAGTCACCCGCCCGTGTCCCCAGCCCCAGTCAGCACAGGGCACGTTGTAGGTACAAATGGATCTGTGACTGAATCTTGGTCCCAAGTCCCCTGCCCCAGCCTGCGCTGCTCACCCCTCCTCCAACCAGCCTGCTGTGGTTGCCCTTCGCTTGGGTTTGGACATTCTCCCCCTTCTTCCTCATCCTGACTTGGAGAATGCTATTTACCTAAAAAACTCAGAACTGTTCTCTCCTGCTCGCTGTCCCCTGTAAGATGGGGCAGGGATCCCAAGAGCAAAAGGGATCGCTCCACACTCAATGAATTTCTCCTTCCACCTGCCCTTTGAGTCACTCTCCTTTACCATCTTGCTGGAAATAGTCCAAACTTTTCTCTCTTTTTGGCTTTACCTTCTGGAAATTTAATTTACTGGTCCCCTCCTCCAGGAAGCCCTCCCTGTCCCCCAGACTTGGTCAGATGCCCTTTCGGGTTCCCCCAGACCCTGGCCTGTCCTGGCTGAGCCCTGCCCACTCTGGGTCATCACCATCCAGGGACTGATCTGTTGTCCCCATTGGCGTGGGAGCCCATGAGGGCAGGGCCAGGTCTCTTATTTGTCACCACTGTGTCACTAACACTACCCGTACAGGGGTAGGCACAGTTCAGTTGAATTTTTAAGGGGTCATGGTTGAGGATGACAGCTGACCAGTGACACGCCGACCTTACCCTTTTCCTATTTTCTTATATTCTTATGAAGAGTAACACAGCCTTATTTACATACAATTTGCATACACCAGACCAAGAAGGCAGGGAGTGTAGGACCAGATTTAGAGGGGGTTTGGGGGGAGCGGTGTTCTGCTTAATTCGAGGTTCACTGTGGCGGTGGCAGCATCTTCAGCTGCACCTGGTCCTCCTGGGAGGGGGGAACGGCCACCCAGCCGGCGGCCATGGCCTTGGCCACGCTGCTCCTCTTGGAAGTGAGTGGGGTCTCCAGGGTGATGGAGGCGTTGGCCATCTCCTGGGGCTTGTCGCTGGCCAGGAAGTGGAGCAGATTGTGCAGGGCCTTGGCCACGTCGCCGCGGGCGCCCTCGTTGACCAGGCAGTAGAGGATGGGGTCGGCCACGCAGTTGAGACTGGTGAAGGCCAGCGAGCTGTGGTAGGCGGCGAAGACGCGCTCCTCGAAGCCGCAGTCCCAGGGGCGGCCCAGGTAGACAGCGCTGCGGGAGAGCAGGAGCACGTGGTAGGGTGCAAAGCACACCAGCACGATGGCGATGAGGCTGAGGGCCAGCCGCTTGATCTTGGCCTTCTCCTGGCGCTCGGTGGACACACTGCCCCGCACGGCCCGCAAGATCCCGCGGTAGGACAGCAGCATGAGCGCCCACGGAAACAGGAAGCCCACGAAGACGCGGTAGAGGTTCATCCAGGCCACCCAGCCCTCCATGGGGAACTTCTCGAAGCAGAACGTATGGTTGTAGCGATCGCGGAAGAGCTCATCGTGGAACAGGGGCGCCGAGTTGGCGCCCAGCTCCGTGGCCCAGACCACGGAGCTCACGGCCACGGCCGTCTTGACCCGGCGCAGGCGGGCAAACCGCAGTGGGTGCGCCACGGCCAGGTAGCGATCCACCGAGATGCAGCACAGGAAGGCGATGCTGATGTAGATGTTGGTGTAGAAGATGAACCCGAAGAGCTTGCAGGAGCCGGGGCCGTGGATCCAATTGTCGTGGTGCAGGAAGTAGTCGACCCAGAGCGGCAGCGTGCAGATGTATAGCAGGTCGGCGATGCTGAGGTTCATCAGGTACACGCCCAGCTCGTTGCGCTGACGCACCTGGCGGTAGGCGGCCCACAGAGCCAGGCAGTTGGTGGGCAGCCCCACGGCGATGACGAAGATGTAGAGGGAAGGCGGGAAGAGGTGGTCCATGCGCGAGTCCACGTGACAGCCCTCCCATGTGCGGTTGCCCATTCTCGGCACTGGGGCTTTCAGGCGCTTCCCCTGGCCCACGGGGGCTGGGGGGCCGCGGGGGCCGGGAGGCCATCGGGGCCCCTGAGCCCCCTCCTTGCAGGCTCAGGGGGACATGGTGGTTGCCAGGCCTCGGGGAAGAGACGAGGTTGACCGTGAATCTTGGGCCAGGCTGGACAGGAAGGGGCGGAGCTTGAGAGGGAAAAGTTGGAGGAAGGATACAATTAGCACAGGAGGGAGGTTTGGAGAATGGTGGGAGGAACAAAGAGCTTCCTCAAGCAGGTGTGTATAGACCCGATCGGAAATTAAATGAGGGCCCTGGCTGGTGCAGCTCAGTGGATTGAGCACGGGCCTGCGAAGCAAAGGGTCCCAGGTCTGATTCCCAGTCAGGGCACATGCCCGGGTTGCAGGCCAGGTCCCAGCAGCAGACGCATGAGAGGCAATCACACATTGATGTTTCTCTCCCACTCTCCTCCCCCCCACCTCTAAAAATAAATAAGTTAAAATATTTTTTAAGAAATGATGTAACAAGGAAGGTGACCAGTGAAGAGAAGAAGATGGAAAAGGAGGTGTTGAGGGGAGTGGACAGGGAGGAAGGATTCAGTCTGGGGAGTGTGGAAATGGTTTTTAAGACACAGGAAGGAGGTGAGTAAGGGCTGGATCAGGAGGATTATAGATGAAGGGGGCGGTTTGAAGGGGGGAGGGGAAGGCTCAGGCTCGGTCGTGCAGAGCGGTTGAGATGAGGCCCCCCCCCCTCACAGTTCAGAGCTGACTTTTCGGTTCCTGTGGGGAGAGAGGACCCAGTGAGGGGGTCAGGGCGTCAGGTCCCACCCCTTCTCCCACGCTGCTCGCCCTTATTCCTATAGGCTGCCTCATGGAGCCCCATTCCAGACAACAGGCCTCTGAAAACCCAGATTTGAAGTGCCAGATCGACTTTCCCCTAATAGATGTCAAATAATAACCCAATTTGGATTTCAGAACTTTCTTCCAGAAACCACATAAAACTGGCGTAATTGGATCATGCCTTGGGAAATGATGGACTAGGTTAACGCTGCGGTTTTACGGGAACTCCCCTCAAGGACGAACAGCAAGGCAGTGACCCAACAAGAACCGGAACTGGAAGCAGGACCAGCCTCCCACTCCTAACCCAGGGTACCCCGTTCTTGATGATGATGATGGTGATGGTGATGATAACAGCTAAAGCTCATGAGTCCCAGTACATAGCAAACCCTGTTCGAAGCACTTTTCTGGGTATTAATTTATTAAAATGTCAAAAACCCCATGAGGAAAAGTGCTGCGTGTTCCTCCTGTTTGACAAACTGAGGCACACAGCAGCTCAGAGACCTGTCCAAGGTACTGACGACCGGAGACTGGGAATCTCGGCTCTTGCCCCTTGGGCTCCAGTCCGTGCTTTCCACTCAGAAAGGGCTGGGCAGAGAGAGGCCCGGGGCTGGGAACCATAGTTGCAGAGGGCAGGGGGGAAGGGGTGAGAGCGGAGGCTGCTGGATTGGAGCAAGGGCAGGGTCTGGCTGGTGTAGCTCAGTGGATTGAGCACGGGCCTGCTAACCAAAGGATCGTGGTTCAATTCCCAGTCGGGGTACATGTCTGGGTTGCAGGCCAGGTCCCCAAGGAGGGGATGTGTGTGAGACAACCAGATATTGATGCTTCTCTCCTCTTTTTCCCTTCCCCTCTCTAAAAGTAAATAAATACAATTATTTTTTAAAAGATTTTATTTATTTATCTTTAGAGGGGAAGGGTTAGGGAAAGAAATATCAATGTATGGTTGCCTCTCATGCATCCCTTGCTGGGAACTGGCCTGCAATCCAGGCATGTGCCCTGACTGGGGATCGAACCACAGTTTTCTGGTTCACAGACCCATGTAAATACAATTACTTTTTGAAAAGGAAAGAAAGTGGCAGATGGTGGGTGGCACCTTTGAAGAACCCCCAGGACACACTTTGAAAACCACTGCTTGAGCCCGTTGGACAGATGAGGAAACCAAGGCCCAGAGAGGGGAAGGGATGAGCCCAACGTCACACAGCAGGTCCCTGGAAACCTCCCTGATGTCTGAGCATCCTTGCATGGGAAACCCCTCCGGCTGGACGTCCTCCACAATAAATCCTGAGTTCGCACCTGTCTCCAAAACCCCTGCCACTGCCTGCTTGGTGCCACCAAGCCAGCTCACTCGCTGGAATCTTTACAGTGGCCTCCTCACTGCTCTCTCAGCTGCCATTGACGTCTTCCATCCCATTTCCCGCAACGCAGCCAGAACGGCCTTTCCCACTCGGACATCAGCCCTGGTTCCTTCAATGGTTTCCCTCCAGTGGTTTCCCAGGGGGCTTGAGGTAAAATCCCAGCGCCTTGCCCCAGGGGACGGGGCGCTGCCTGACTTGCTGGGCAGTGACCTTTCTAGCCTCACAGCTTGTGCTCCTACTGTACCGTCCTCCTGGCCCTCTCTTCCTTCAGATCTTGTTAGCACTAGCCTTCTTGCCCTGGCCAGTGGAACTCAGTTGGTTGGAGCATCCTCCGGTAAACCGAAAGGTCACAGGTTCAATTCCCGGTCAGGGCACAGGTCTGGGTTTCGGGTTCAGTTCTGGATCAGGTGCATTGGAATGTATGAGAGGCAACGGAATGGAATCAATGTTTCTCTTCCTCTCTCTCTCTCTCCCTTTCTTCCCCCCTCTCTCTCTAAAATAAATGGGCATGTCCTCGGGTGAGGATGAAGAGAAGAGAGGAGAAGAGAAGAGGAAGGGGGAGGGGAGGGGAAGGGGGAAGGGAGGGAAGAAAAGTAAAAGAAAAGAAAGGAAAAGAAAAGAAAAGAAAAGAAAAGAAAAAAGAAAAGAAAAGAGAAAAGAGAAGAACTAGCTTCCTGCTTCCTTCACTTCCTCGGGGACGCCCTTCATACCCAGAGTCCCGCCCACCCCCACTGCCCCAGGGCTCTTTCCTCACAGCACCTGTATCTCGTCTTTGTCTGTCTGGAGTGGAAGTTCCCGAAGGGCAGGGGCCGACGAAGGGCAGGGGCCTTGGGTCGACCGCTGTAGTGTCCCCAGCACACAGTAGGTGATTAACGAACAACCGTAGACTGAAGGAACACGCATTGGGTACCCTACTCCCCAACGCAGGCTCCCTCCCCCCATCAAGTGGCACCAACCCCGCCCCCCCCCCCCCCCCCCCCCCCCCGTCAGGCTCAAATAAGCCCCTGGGGGACCCAGAGAAGAAGATGAGGGGTGGCAGTGAAAAGAGCAGGATCCGTCTGCTACAGAACTGACATGGGAAGGCCCAGACTGAGTCCTGCTACAGAGGGAAGTCCCGAGCCCTCTGCGGGGTCCTCAGCCGCCCTGCGCCCCCACCCAGACTCAGAAGGGGGGGCTCCTGGACCCTGTGTGGATAGGACGGAGGGGGCTTGCTCCTGACAGTAATAGTGGGATCCAGTCCCTTCCCTGACCCTCCAAGTCACCCAAAACACCTGTCCCCAGGCTCTCTGACCCTCAGTCCCCGCCCCTCTCTCTCTTGCCCTGTCTCTCCTTCCTTTTGTAACAGTGAAAGAATTACTTTTTTATTCCTCAGGAGCTTCAGGTTCTGCTTTATAAGAAGGGGAGGGGCACACACTTTCATGCCAGTCACATCACAGATAGGAAAATCCTTGTCGATGTTCTCCTTACATTCTTGAGTACTTGTTACTCCGCAGGCTCTGGACAGCTGAGACCAGAAACAAGTGTTTAGTGGGACGCAGCCCCCGAGGCTGGCATTTCCCTTGGTCCCACCCTCGGCAGACCACCTGGGTTCTGCTGAGGCTGATGCAGACACACAGGATGGAGAATAGTTTCTGGCGCCCAGAGGAAATATACTTCCCATTGCTAATTTCCTCAGGGGGGAACCAGCTGGACACTCACGCCTTCTTCCTCCTACCTCTCCTCTGCAATCGGCCTGCTTCTAGGGAGTGCTGGCCATGCGGAGGAGCCTCAGAAAACCCTCCCTTCTCCCCCCACCTTGCCAGATCTGCCCACCATCGAGCCCAGAATGGTAGACTTAGAATTCCACAGCACAGCAGGCCCGTAGATGACCACGGTGGGGAGTGGGGTGGGAGGCGGGGTGCAAGGTTATTTCTGACCCCTCCCTGGGACAGATGAGGGAACTGAGGCCCAGAGGGGCAAGGCAGTTGTCTCAGTCACATGATGTGTCAAGACTGGGCAGACTTTTTTTTAAATACAGATTTTATTTACTTGTAGAGATAGGGGAAGGGAGGGAGAGAGCGAGGGAGAGAAACGTCAGTGTGAGAGAGAAACATCAACTGGCCGCCTCTTGCGCATGCCCTGACCCAGACAGAAACCAGCAACCCAGGCATGTGCCCTGACCAGGAATTGAACCGGTGACCTTTCGCTTTGCCGAACCACGATGACGTCCAACCTACGGAGCCACACTGGTCAGGGTCCCGGCAGGTTCGTTCTTAACTGGAAGAGCTTACTTTCCCTGAATGTTTTCTCTCCACACTCTCTGCCCTCCTGCGACTTTCCTCAAGTCTTTCTGGGGTCTCAGCCCCTCTTGAGAATCTTCTGAAAAATACACGAACTTTCTCACCATGAAAGCAAGTGACTTGGAGTGTCTTGGGTGTCCCTCCGTCACCTGACTCCCTCCCCAAGTTCCCGGGCTTCACGCCCAGGGTCAGGACCCTCTTCAGCTGGGATCTAGGTTGCTTGCCTTAATCGGGCATTGCTGGGGACTCCATCCCCGGATCTCACAGATCCCACGAGAAGCTCCACCTGTCTCAGACGGCCCCCCATTTGGTCCCTGATGCCCACCCCCGCAGAGGGACACGAAGAGCGAGAGTCCCAGGTGTGGACAAGATGGCTGGGTCAGATCTCGGCCCTCACTTTATCCCTCAGCTGCTTGCACCATATCCGTCCCTAGGTCCGCCTGCCACCCCTAAATCCAGACTGGGGTGGTGTTGAGAGGACTAGAGAAGAAGTGATGGAGCCCCCCACACTCCCACCACCCTCCACTCCCCAGATTTATCCCAGAAGCCAGCAGGCCATTGCTCCCCACTTCCTCCTCTGTCAGCTCTGCTCCCCCTCCCCTGGCTCCCAGCTCTCCTGGCAGCCCCAGGGGACCGGCCAGCTCCAGTCCTCTCATTAGGAGACGAAATGTGATCACCAAGTCTCGCTCCCCACCTGGTGTCCTGGTGGCAGGCGGAAGCCAGGGGACAGCCAGGCCAAGCTGACCGCCTTGCTGGATCTCAGCTTCCCCTCTTCCAGCTCATGGGTCCCCATCCCCCCCAAAGCCCACTCCACCAGGAAGGGGCACCGGGGTCCTGGACTCCGCCACTCCGATGTTCTAAATTCCAGCGTCCCCCAATCCTCAGGTTCTATTGTTAGGCCAGGGCACAGTTTACCGTTCTATTATTGTAACGATGTTCTGGAGTTCTACCTTTGTTCCGTTCTATTATTATTACCACCATGGCTTACCATGCCCTCACCCAATAGCCCAGGAGGCTTGCATTCCAAGATTCAAAAGTTCTATTGTTAGAACGCTCTATGATTTTTTAAAAACATTCTATGACTTTCATAATCTATTATTAAACTCTCAGTGATTATGATCTTTGCCAAGCAAAAACACGAATGCGTATTTCCCTTTTGTTTTTGTTAGAAATGGGAGCATACTCTATGTAGGGTAAACCCCTCTTGCTTTTCCCCCTTATCTATGCTATTTCTAACATTTCAGCAGCCTGGAGTTCTAAGATTATGCAGAATGCAGAATTCTGAGATACTAAGAATCACGGTGTGGGGGGGAGGTGGGGGGCGCTCTAGGGAGCTGGGGGGAGTTTAGTGACCACCTCCACCTAGTCCCTCAGTTCTCATCACTTGGGGATGGGGGGGTACTAGGCACCCAGGCTTTCTCCCTGCCCCTTGCCCAGGGGGCCTGGCCTCATCACTCCCTGCTGGCTCACAGCAGCTGAGTTATTATTTGTCTAGACACAAACCAAATTATAGCTCCTGTCCCCTGGGAGCAGTGGGCTTCATGGGGGGGGGGGGGGTCAGGAGACAGAACCAGGCAGGAGTTAACCCCTGCCCCCTACTTTTCCTCCTCTCTCCCCTCCTTTGAGATTCCTCACCTTCCCCACAAACCGACTCTTGCCCCCTTTCCCTGGCCACCACCATGGCTTCAGAAATGTTTTCTCTTCTCTGCTTCTAAAGTGCTCCCTTCTGGGTCCCAGCCGTTCCTATGCACCCTGGCATTCTCCCCCTCGCTGGGTAGACCTCCTACTCCAAATTAATCCGACTTAGTGGCAGGAAAAGAAGCCGGCTCTCTGGATTTGGGCTTCCGTGGAACTAGAGCCCCAACCCCCAACTGGCACTGACTCGCTGTGGGGACTTCTCCTCTTGGGCCTCAGTTTTGCTGTCTGTAAAGTGGGTGCTTGGCCTAGGTGTCTCTGAAAGTCTTTTCCAGGCCACAGCTGTGAACACTGGAAATGGTCACGATTCCAGCAGGAGTCCTTTGGGGTTGAAGGGTTTGACTATCCTAAGCACCTTTGACTTGCGTTCCCAGTTCTCTCCTCCGATCACTCCCACATTCTGGATCCTTCTATTCGAAGACCTCACATTCAAGGCTTCTTGATGATACGATGCCGAGTTTGGGAGCCCTCATAAGTTTCTATCATCTCATCCTGGTGGGAACCCCCCCTAAGAAAGGAAAAACCTCCCCATCCTCACCCCGAATCTGAATTCGAGTCATTTGCAGAGATGAAGCTGGTGGGGGGCCCTCTTGGGGGGTTCGGAAGGAAAGTGGCGGGTGTGGGTCCTGGGGGGGGGCGTTGGAGGGGGTGGCCCCCATCATCTCCAGCTGTGCCTCCCAGTAAAACTCCCAGCGCACATCCTGCCTGAGTGCATAGACACACCCTCAAACCGATGCCCCCCTGGGCTCCAGAGCTGCCCCTCAGCCTGCTTTGGAGGGCGGGGGCAACCAGTCCAAGGAAGGGGGATGAGGTAAAGGCAGGAAGGAGTTAATGGTGACCCAGCCAAACCCTGGAAGGGAGGAAGTGTGAAAGGAAGTCCACCCCCCAGCCAGGAATTCCTGAAATTGGAGGGTGGGGTGGGTGCGACCTCAGGAGCAGTGGAGGGACTGTGTTAAAGGGGCACTGGGGTCACAGTGTCACTCAGAGCTTACCTGCCCCAGGTAGCAACTCTGCTGTCCCCCACCCGCCTCCCAAGCAGCTCTTCGGCCCTGGGGGAAGCTCAGGGGATGGGCGAGGATTTGCAACGAGATGCGGACGGGGTCTAAGACGCAGAGACATAGGGAGAGACGGCGAGACCGGGAAGGAAAAGGCAAAGAGATGGACAGAGACACAAAGGCGTGGAGACGGAGGCAGGGAGAGAGCCGCACAGACGCAGGGGCGGTCGGAAGACTGGTGGGCAGAGACGGAGACGGGCGGAGAGAGACCGGCAGGGACGCAGAGGCAGCCACGGAGCCGCACGGGGGCGTAGGGCGAGAGGTGCGCCCAGAGGGAGAGGGCGCGCGGGCACAGGGGCATCGGAGACAGAAGGACAGATGGGCGGGGAGACAGACCCGAGACGAAATCCACCGCGGGGACGTAGGGGGAGCCAGCGCCGGAGAGGGGCGGGGACCAGACGGCGCGGGAGACCGAGGCAGCGGGCCTGGGGACGCGAAGCCCCCAGGGGCGCGGGGAACAGCGCCCCGCGGCGGCCGGGCGACCAGCGCGGACCGAGGAGGGGTCGGCTCCTACCTGCGCGCGCGGCGGCTGGACGGGGAGGGCGGCGGCGCTCCGGGCTGCAGCGAGGGCTCGGGCTCGACGGCGGCCCCGAGATCCAGCGGCGACTCCTCACCGGCCCAGGCCCCGCCCCGGCCTGCCAGGCCCGCCCCCACTAACCCCTCCTTTGTCGCTCCCCCTTAACCCCTTTCAGCCTTCACTTCGCCGGACTGAGGCCTTGCAGAGCCGGGGAAATCTCACCTGCGGCGGCAACCCCCCTGCCTTCCCACATCGGCCCTTCAAAGCCCGCAGTCTGGATGCCCCCACCTCGTTCACCCCTTCGCCAACTCTCCCTCCAGCCCCGCACCTCCGATCTGATCAAACCCGGAGGCTCCTGTGGGGGCTCCCCGCACTGACTGTTCTTCAGCTGATCCATTTCCTCCCTTCGGAGACCCCAAACCTGAGTCACTAACTTTCTGGTCCTTGCCTGCCCCCCACAAGAGAGACCACATAGGGTTCTGTTAAGTCCTCACTCCCAGGGTCAGGGTCACCCCCGGAAAAAGTTCCGGGGCTTGAGGTCCCAGCCCCGCCTCTTGGCCAGACCTTGGGCTGGACGTGACCTCTGTGCCTCAGTTTCCTCTCCTGTCAGTATGGGCACGGCATAGTCCCTTTGTCATGGGGATGTCATTCTGAGGTGTCAGTACTGTCAATTTTGTAAAACATACCCACGCCCCTCGCTCCCAGGTTCCCAATTCCTCCTTGTTTTATTTTTTTTTCACCCCACAGAACTGGTCACCATCGAATGTTCCACGTATGCCACTTATTTTTCCTAATTCTCTGCCTTCCCCGCAGGAGGAGCGTCATTTGTCATTGTCGTGCCTGCTTTGTTGACTATTGTGTCTGTTGCCCAGAAGGCCACTGTGCGCGGGATAGGTGTGCAATGCACGAGAGAGGTGTGCAGCGCGCAGTTCTCCGGGGGCGAGCACGTGAATGGTGAGGGCTCCGGACACGTGTGCTTATTTGTGTCACCGTCGTTCCGACCGGATCCTGAGAATTCACTCTTCGTCAGAGCACTGTGGACACACCTGGTATGGAGCACTCAACGATGGCCGCTATTAGGTTTGCAAAACCCTACTTATTTATTTATTTTTTTAAATAAAATGAATGCCCGGATCTTAAGTACAATGAGTTGTGACAAACAGATACAACCATGTGATTAAGCACCCAAATCAAGATGGAAAACATTTCCATCCCCCAGACCCTGGTGCGTTGCCCCTTTCCAGGCAATACTCCGCATCACCCCCGGAGGCAGCGCTGCGCTCTCTTTTTTTCTTGGGAGATTAGCGTTGCCTATTCTAGGACCTCATATAAATGGAGTGATACAGTTGTTTTTTTTTGTATGGTAGCTGTTAGGGTCACTCGCTGTGTGACCTCGGACAAGTGACTACACCTCTCTGAACCATGGCGCAGCCCTCCTCTCTGGACTCTTGAGGACAACAGAGAGTGAGAGAGTTAACTAAAGACCAAGTGACCTGCAACGCACACAGGAATACAGGCTTTCCCTTCTGCCCTCCTACGGGGGAGGGGCAGTTCCGAGGAAGCTGGCGGGGAAGCTTTAGCCCCTCCCCGCACTGAACCCCACAGACCCGTTCAGTTTCAGGACGAGCCCCGCAGAGTCCTCCCATCAGCCCCGTGGCCGTCCCAGGCTCTTCCTAAAGAGAAATCCTGGGGCCCACTGGCGGGCAAGGGCTCCCCTCCTCTCTCCTGGGCTCACTCTGAGTCTATGCTGCGATTCAGGCAGGGTCCTGGCAGGAAACAGGGGCCGCTCAGAGTTTAAGTGGCAGCGCTTACGAAGGGATGTTTTAGGGGCGTGGGCAGGGGGAAGCACCCTGCAAAGCACCACGTGACCGGCCACCCTTTGGGCAGAAAGCTGGAGTTTGGAGGCGAGCACCTGGGGGTGGGGGCGCTAGGCGCAGGAACGCAGCCATTTGCAGACCGCGGGGATCCAGGGATCCAGGGAGCGTCGGAAAAGAAACTCTCCCACTTCGCTCCTCCGACCCTCGGGTTTCCCCTCTGAGCCCCTGATTGGCAGGACCCAACCCGAAAGCAGAGGCCAAGGGACCTCCGAGGGTGGAGTCCGCACAACGTAGTCTCCCAGGGCCCTGCACCGGGGGCGGAAATCTGAGTGGCCCTGGCGGGGGGTGGGTGGGGAGGGGTCAGCAAGTGGTGAATGACCAGCGGCACTATTCTCGTAGAACTTTCTAGGCACATTTTTTCCCATGCAGGTTTGAGGCTGGGCACAAGGGGGCGACAGAGCGCTAAGAGACCCAGTGACACTTCCCTAAACTTGGACTTCCAGCTGCGGGCTTCGCAGGTTTCTCCTGCTTGTATTTTCCTCCCTTAGGAAGAGATGGGCTAAGTAACTTGTCACTGTGAAACTGCAAGGCTCTGAGCTTTCCATTCCAGGTGATCATCTGTAGAGGTGAGAAGAGGAAACGCAGGTGTGTGATGTTCTACATCATTTTTATGTACTGTTCCATCCAGGAAAACCCCATGTTTGCTCCCTTATTACATTTCCATTAGAGCAGGGGTTCTCAAAGTGTGGTCGCTGACGGGAATTGGGGCAGCTGCGCGGTCACTATCGCAAGGCCTGTGGGTGATTCTAATGCTCCTTCCAGTTTGAGAACTACTCAACTAGAGAACAGTTGTGCCTCAAACATTGAAATAAATGGCCCTGGCTGCTGTGGCTCAGTGGATCCTGTGTCATTCTGCAAAGTCATTCTGCAAATCAACGGGTTGCCGGTTTGGTTCCCGTTCAGGGCTCATACCTGGGTTGCGGGCCAAGGCCCCGGTTGAAGGTGTGCAAGAAGCAATTGATCCATGTTTCCCTCTCTCCCTCCCTTCCCCTCTCTAAAAATAAAATCTTAAAAAATAAAAATAAAAATAGCCCTGGCTTGCCCTGGCTGGTGTAGCTCAGTGGATTGAGCACCGGCCTGTGAAGCAAAGGGTCACCAGTTCCATTGCCAGTCAGGGCACACACCTGGGTTGCAGGCCGAGGAGCAACCACACATACGTTTCTCTCCCTCTTCCTCCTTCCCTTCCCCTCTCTCTAAAAATAAAATCTTTAGAATGAATGAATAAATAAAGTAGCTAGGTTGCTTGAGAAAACCCTGCGGATCACTTTGTAAAAAAATTTTTAAGATGTAATTAGATAGCATTAGTATAAGTTATATAGGCTGCAAAAGATGAGAATAACTCGATCCCCCCATATATATATATATATTCCTTATGGTGTGGTCTGGGTGGTGGTTACCATGGGGGGGGATGGATGGGATGGGACACTAGGGGGCTGGTGGGGGCTGGGGGTGTTTCTCTACCTGGGAGCTGACTGCTTGGGATGGGTTGTCTGTCAACTCAGCAGACTGTGCATTTACGGTAAGTGCATTTCTCTGCTGTGTGTTAAACACCAATAAAAAGTGAAAGTAAAACGTTTTGCTCAAGGTTACATATACTGAGCTAAGTTCCTGATGGCGGCATTTGAGCAGGGCCAGCTGGGTCGCTCCTACATTCAGGCAACTTTTTATTGTTTATGCGGGTGGAGTTGATTTTGCCTCTCGTAACCCAGAGTGCTTAGATCCTAACCCGTAGCCATCCTTTGGCCCACTTCTCTGAAAACATTCCTTGTCCTATTTCAACCTTGTAGGAGGTGGAGGCTAACATGTTTTTCATACAACCCCGCGTCCCCGGTCACAATCGTTGGTCCAGGAGTGGTACTTCACCCAGGTGGAGCCAATCACAGTAAACCAACCAGCGGATCAAGTTGATTGATCTGCAGCTGGGTCAATCACGACCTTTCCCTGAAATCTTTGGGCTTGGGTCCAAAGCTCACAAAGATGTGAGCTTTGCAGCTGCTGGGTGCGTTGTGTGGAGAATGCCGGTTCCAGAGAAAAATGATGACTGATAGGTAAGAAAGAACGGTGGGAATGTCTTGTGGGCCCTCAAATCCTTGATTCCATGGTCCTGAAACCCAGAGGCACACACTTGTTTGAATTGAGGCCCATGCGAGTTCTCTTTTGGCCTAAGTTAGAGTAAGCTTGGTTTCTGCCACTTGCGGCCAATAAAGACCTTCCTAGTAATGGCCCCTCGCCAGGCACTGTAATCCATGCACACACTCACCCACACACAACGCCTACAGACACACCCAATCTATGACACACCACATGCGCAAACCCGACACCCCACCTCGGTGCACGTCTTTATTTGTGGATGATATATAAAAGAATAAACTTAAAAAAAACACCCAAACCAAACATCCTAATGGCTCTCCCAAAACAACATGACCCCCTCCTCCCACCCGGATAAATAGAGACCTCCGTCGGTCAGCCCAGCCTTCCGCCCCCATAACCCTCTCTGCTATAGACATACTCTGGGTATATATTACTCTACTCGGCAATAGACATCTCCCGAAAATAGAACTCCAACCCTGCCACCTGACTCCACCCTGGCCGCGGGTCTCTGTGGACCCGCGCCAACCCACTTCAGACCACCCGCCACTGCAGTATGCTGGTGTCCTTGCCCCCTGTGCTCAGGGCCATACTGTCATCCCACAAGAAGGCCACGTTCGTCACGTGGCTGCTGTGTCCGCCGTATTTGTGGCTGAGGGCCTGTGATGGGGGAGAAAAAAAAGGAAGTGAAAGGTCAGAGGGGATAATGCCACTCCCTGTCTTCCCAAGATGACCCGCTTCTTTTACTGCTTCATAAACCCTTCCTCTAAGAGCCCTAGCAGTGGATCTCATTTCTTCAACAAGCCAATGACATTAAAAAAAAAAAAAAAGCACGGCTGGTGTAGTTCAGTGGGTTGAGCGCCTGGGAGCTGAAAGGCTGGGGTTGGATTCCCAGGCCAGGCACATGCCTGGGTTGCAGGCCAGTTCCCAGCAGGGGACTCACGAGAGGCAACCGTACATTGATATTTCTCTCCCTCCCTCCTTCCCTTTCCCTCTAAAATAAATAAAGTCTTTAAAAAATTAATGTTAATTTGTGGAGTTTGGGATATGTAAGCATTATCTTTATTGTTGAGATCTAAATGTTAATTTGGGGAGCTAAAAGGTCCTATGTGGGTTTTAAGTACAAAGAGAA